GGCTTGGTTCCTGTAGACTTGAAAAGTATTTTTGCAGTCCGGGGGTTGAGCAGTCAATGTTGCAGTTGATTTTGTAGGCGTCAGAGCCTCCGCGTTGGCTTGATACAGCAGCAGCATCTTAGAGGCCTGTATGGCACCCAGCAGCATGTGATCTCTTTTTTTTTTGTTGTTCACAGACTTTGCATGTTGTAAACACTGAAGTTGTGGTTGATAAACCTTGTAGGAGGAGATGGTGGGTGTGTGGTTTTTCTTTTTTTTTTTCCCCCCTCTGGTATAAACTGCCTGACTTCTTAAGTAGTGACATGGGTAACTTGAGCATCTGAATGTGATGGACTGCATAAAAAACAAGCTTTGTGTGTGATTCCACACTCCGCCAAGGCATATATCAAATTCGGTACGTGGCTGTTTCCATTATAACCTATATGAGGAGCAGGACCTCAGATAAGGTTATTTGGTAAATGTTGTCACAATATGCCTGTTCACGGACTAGCCACCAGTACGCTTTGGCTCCAGCTGGGTAGTCTCTACTTCTTGCCTGTGCTTAGGTGTGTTCTTATGCGGCCATCATTCATGCCAGGTGTCATGACAGAGAAAGTAGAGTGGTTTGTAACTTCCATGCATTTGCGGGAGAAAAGTCTGCCACCTTGTGTTAAAGTTGCAAACTGCCCTGCCATCCTTGTGATTTCATCTCGTGGTAGTGGCCACCAGAAAAGAACAGGTTCTCTTTTCCTAATAAGACCCAGGCGTTTGAAGATAGGATCAGAGGTTGGTGATGTTTCCAGCAAGAAGGTCATTAGTGCCAAAGCTGGAGGCTTGGGAGACCCGTCTCCTCGGTAGGAAGTACACTGAAATGAAATCACTTAATTTACGGAGAAATTAACCAGCAGCTGTCAGCTCTTCCCCGTTTGTGTTGAGCCCTGGGCAAGTTTTGAGCCAGCAGCTGGGGAAGAAAAGTCAGTCTGCTTCGTTTTGTTGCTTTTCGTAATTCGAATATTCACCAGGGTGGCAGTTTCCGTGGAAAGCAAGTTTAAAAAGTGCCATCGCCACAGGGTGAGAATTAAACCAAACTCATTACTCAGTTCAACTCAGTTTGTGCTAAGCATGTTATAAAACGTTGCTATCGTTCGACTGCCTGATGCTGTAAGAGAGGCCGCTTTATGCAGCGCTATTCATTTCTCTTCCTCCGTTGCCCCTGGGGGGATCCAGGGCTCTGACATGCCTTGTAGTTCAAGAACTTGTTGCTTTTCAGGCCTCAAGAGATATCTTTGCTGGTATAAGAGGATGTGGTCGTAGCCAGTAACCGTCTTGTAGAGAGGCTAGCAAGGACCTGACTGTCTCCTGATGTGGATGGGGTCTCCCGCTTGCTGTTCATAGTCCCTCCCCAGGTCTCCCTGTTAGCCCTGGTTGTGGTGCTCATCAAGCAGGCTTGCTCCCCATCAGACAAGAGCAGCTTCCAGTTTCTGTTATTCTTGGGGTAGATAAGGATGTGGGGTGGTTCTGACCTTAGGATGGTAGGAGCCCTGCCCCATCTCAGGAAGTGAGTGACACATTTTCAGCAAAACATACTTTCCTCCTCCTCGTTTTCACACACCCAGTAGTACTTGCAGTGTTCAGAAAGGAGCAGCTGGTAGCAATTGGGTCCCAGCACCCCTTCCACATGGCAGCTACTGCTTCACGCCATGTGGAAAGGCACAGCAGAGCCCTTGAGATGCAGTCTCCAAGATGGCCTTTTTCAATCATCACGTGTACAGCGAAAGGGCACTGCTGTGCTGTCTCCAGGTTAGACCTCGTGTACAGACTGGCAAGGAGGAAGGTTTCTCCCCAGAGGGAGTGAGCAAGTATCTGAGACTGCTTCTGCTTTGGCGGCATGTTGTGACGGAGGGCATGTAGCCTGTGTTTTGCTTTCTGTGCTGCTAGGGCATGTCTAGGGCCTGTACAAATGCCCTTAACCTGGTGAGAAATGGCTTAGTGGCTAGGCCACTACCTCTGCACTCTAGAAACCTGGGTTTCAATCCCTCCTTTGCCCCAGATTTTCTTTGGAGCCCTGGACAAGTCACTGATTCTCTCGGGCTTCATTCAAGTTCATTCATAACTTGAAGATAATACCCCATGCAATGAGGAAGCACTAAGTATATTGATGATCACGAGGCACTGAGATGCTGTGGTCATGGTGGCTAAATACCTGCCATAAGCAGTAGATTGGGACCTCGGGGGATACCCTGTGTTGGGCAGAGGGTGGGTCCTTGCCCAAGGCACCTGCCCATGTTCTGCTGCTGAAGGGGTGTAGGTGATGTGCTTTTGGGTGCTGCATGGTGTTGCTGTGAGCCTGGCCAGAATATAAACCAACTCTTTTCAAACTCAGCTAATAGTGAATGTCTGTGGGGTGTGATGGGGAAGGGCAAGAGCTGGGAGCTGGGGAGGGAGAGCAGTGAGTTCAGGGGGAACCTCGGGACCTGGGGAGTGGGGTGAATATTTAAGGTCCTGCTTTCAAACTGGAGGAGGGGAAGACTAATACACTGAGGGAAAATGCATTTTGCACTGCATCGAAAGCCTGGGTGCCTTCTGGGCTCGTTCTGGTCTGTGCGTGTTTTAAGATCTCTCTTACCGCCATTGTGTCTGAGCACTGCTTTGGCATACTGGCATCTGGCATTGTGGGTTCTTTTGCAGCACGTAGCCCCTGGGATGTCAGACCCCCCTCCCTGTATCCCTAGAAGGTGAAGAAGTAGATCAGAGCTAAGGCTTTAGATGTCAACCGTGGCAGCTTTAGAGCCTGTCCACCTCCTCAGAGAGAGTGCAGGCCAAATCCGACCTGATCTGGGCAGTTCGAATGAGTGAGCCAAGGAGTAGCTGCTGAATTCAGCATCTACATTAATGGAGCAGTCCCGTGAAGAGCGGCAATGATTGAGCATCACGCACAAGGCCAGTGTAGCACCAACAAAGGGACAGACCAGCCCGACTATGGCAAAGGGGAGGCTCTAAGCTCGCTCTTTCAAAGGCTTATAGGGTTGGGGTAGTTTATGGAGAGCTCATATTTAAGACTTTGTCTTAAAAATTCCTACACAGTGCTCCATTTCTCCACCCTGGGAGAGCAAAAGGTTGAGTCACTCCTTCTGGGACTTGTGGCACTAGGGAACCTAAGAGCAGCATCACACACCTGCAGCCTGAATCCCAGAGCAGTCCCTTCCAGGATGCTGCATCTGATAGTAAATCCCAGTTGAGGAAGGTGGCTGTTGGTCCATCTCTGGTGAGTGCTGGCACCCCCTTGGTCCAGTGCTGCTTTCTTTTGACTTTGGAGGAATGGTACCTTGGGAGTTTGCTGATCTCATCCACAGTGACTAGATAGATGGGCAGGATTCCTGTGGGCCAGTCAAACACTGAAGCTGTGCCCTCTGCTTCTTCCCACCCTCCTTCTAAAAGCACATGGGTGGCTTGTGGTCTCTGCTTCCGGTCCCTGTGTGATACAGCATGTGCAGTAAGGAAGCAGGAGAGATAAAACATGGCTCACATTTCTGGGAATCCTTGTTCCACCACTGCTGGGGAAATGTTCTGCTCCAAGGGGCTGGCAGATAAGATGCGTGTTTCTTTTGTCGTGCTTATTCATCAGTCTGGCTCCCGAGTGGCTTGATAGGGCTCTGTGTGCGGGGGCGGGGGGAGTCTGCCAAGCCTGGGACCCTGTCTCTTTCTCTTGTAAACTGAGCAAAATTGGCACCAGTTCTGTGGGATGGGAGGGTGAAGAAGTGCAGCTCTTGTGTTGCTTCTGGCATGTGCAAGGCTGAAGTTAAAGCTGATGAAAGGATTGACAGAAGCTAAAGGCCTCAGATTTACCCAAAACACCTTCATGCTGCACCATCGCCCTACCTTGCTTCTGTCCTGGAAGAAGCTCGGCCCCTGGGATTCATTCAAGCTTTGATTTCTCTGCTGAAGCTGTCAGCAGGGGGCTTTGTTAGGGCCACCTCTGCTGTGGTATGGGTTCCTGTCCATTAGGGAATAGACTGAGCCATACAGATACATTTGCTAAATTTTTCTAAATTTTATTTTTATAAAAGAGCAGAGGAGGTCCTCTCCACACAGGCAAGTGGCTGGGATGGTTTTGCTGGCTCTGCTTTCTTCCTGGGCTCAATGATCTTCTGACCATGACCCAGCAGAGAAAGTGAGTCAGAGCTGTGTCCTCTTGTGGATGTTTCCTGCTGGATAAATGGGTGAAAAGGGTGGAGTTTGCGTGCCCGGTCTGGGGCTCTGCTCAGGGCCGAGTGGTTCTCCTGCATGTGTTTGCCAGCTTCAGCATCCAGGTGACACTCGGGGTTTGGTGACACCTAGACGCTCCCTGTCTCGCTGTTCTGAACCCTGGGAACTCCAGCAAGGAGGAGGAAAGCAGAGCCACCAAAACCATCCCAGCCACATGCCTGTGTGGAGAGGACCTCGTCTGCTGTTTTATAAAAATAAAATTTAGAAAATTTCAAGTTGAAAAAGGCAGTTTGAAGCAGCATCTTCTATGACTTCTCCTGCACCCTGGCAGTGGGCTCTGGAAGACGGACGTGGAGGGTGAGGAGGTGCAGCCTGCAGGGGCAGGGGCTCCTGTGGTCTGTTTGCTTCTCTGTTGTTCCCTTTTCTGGGTGGAAAAGTCACACTGCCTCTGTGCATCAGCCCTCCCCCCTGTCAAATGGGGGTAGTGGTTCTTCAGTGAAGCTCAGTCATGTGGTGGAAAGTCCAGTGGGAGTGTAAAGTACTATCAAATAACTAAGGAAAAGCTTTGAAATATAAGTGCGGCCCCTTCCTTACATCCCTGAGCAAGGATGGCCTGATGGTTTAAGGCACTGGATTGGGGCCAGGAAGCTCCAGCCTCCCCGCTTAAAAAGGAGGTAATGATTTTTCCCTCTTGGCCCATAGGCTTGTCGGGGCGTGTGCTGTATTTGTACAGTGCCCAGCCCTGATGTTGCTTGGAGCCGCTGGGAGTTCCTGTGACACGATTAATAACGGTTTCCCCCCTCCCTTTTTTGCAGGTGGTAGCTAAGAAGTGAGCAGGATGCCCCCAGGCATCTACTGCCCCGTGGAATTCTGGTCCAAGGAGGAAAACCAAAACATCCAGGTGGATTTTCTGCTGCCCACGGGCATTTACCTGAGCCTCCCTGTGTCGTGCAATGCCAGCTTGGGCACCATCAAGGAGGTACTGGTCCTTTTCTGCAAGGGTTTTCTAGGTTGGGAGCCCCGCAGGGCCAGCATGCAGCTTTCCAAAGGGCGTGTTCACAAATAGGCGGAGCCTTTTTATTTTTTCCACCCAATGTTTGGGAAAGGAGCTGGATTCACAGCCCCGTGTGTCCACAGAGCAGGTGGCAATGTGGCTTCTCCAGCCTCACCTCCGACCTGGAGGGACCCTTCTCTCAGACATGATCTCTACAGCCCATTAAACTCTCACCTTGCTGCTGTGCCTGCCAACCAACAGCGTCACAGTGATGATGCCAGTTGTGATGTGGGCATCACATCACTAGGTGTATGAGGTTGCTGACTCATTTCACATCAGCAACTCAACTCTGCTTGGATGGTAACTGGGTTTTGAGTAACTAAGTACTGGCAGGGCCGTGTTTGAATCAGAAGCCCAATATGAGAAGACTGCCTAGCCCCAGTCCATCCACTTGGACTGCCAGACCCCCACCTACGCCCCACCCCTGCCCCATCCAAACCTTTCATTATGAGCACAAATGGAAGCAAAAGCTGTCAGCCCCAGGTAGCTGGATACAAATGCAGACTTGCATCAAAGTGCTCTGGAGTTGGACTTGGCTATCTTTTGTGTGGCAGAAACCAGGTCCTGGTGACGGGTAACTTTTAATAGCACAAAGACAGGGATTTTTGTGTTTCATGTGAGGAATTAAATGCTGGAAAGAAAGAGAGCTTAAAAAAATGAAATCACCTTTTCATTCTTCTAAGCAGAAAAAGGGAGTACAACTGGTTCATGTTGCAGTTGCAGCCTGGCCCAGATGACTCACTGAGCACAAGAGACAGACGTATGGAGCCAGACTTATTCAAAGTTCTTTTTCTGCCACAGTTTTCAGGCCAAAATATTGCAGGCACAGCTGGGGATGTCCTTTCGTTGTTAAGCTACCAGCTGCCTGTTTGCAGTTGAGTAGTTCAATAAATGACATCTACAGGGATGCAAAGCTGGTCCCGTGAGGAGGCAACTGGGCTGGAGTGCAAGAGGCCTGGGGCACTGGTTCAATTAGAGGCTCAGTTTCTGGCTCACTTGCAGGCTTCCCATGTGACCCAGAAGAATCCCTTAATCTCCCATACATCTCACCTGAGTAATACTTGCTATCTAAACGGGCTCTGACAAAGGTGTTTTGAGGAATTTGGATATTGTGAAGCCAGAGGGTCATTTAAATATGCAGACAGAGAGATGCATTGCATCAGAAAGTGTGGACACAAAAAGGACAGCCAGGTTAAAGTCAGGCTGAAAATTCGGTCTTTGCAACTGATTCCATGAGACCAGAGACCTCAGAAGATAAACCAGGTCAGCAATAGTTGCTGCTATCCGCGTTGCCTCATATATGGCCCAGCCTGTGCTCAGAGACCTCGTGAACAGTGCCCCACAGTGGGTGTGTCTACACGTACATTAATGTGCTTTAGTTAATGTGCATTAAACCTAGTACCTCACTTCTGTACTCGTGGAGGGAGCCTGCTCTGACGCACTGGAATTCCAGCACTTCGGAGCAGACAGGAGATTAATCGAGTCTGCTGGAGCATGGAAATTAGTATGCTTCAGCAGCTTCCAGTATCATGTGTATAAGCGTCCCTGCACTGAAAAATGGCAGCAGGGCACATTAAACTAAAGCTTGTTTGATGAGTTTTAGTTCAAAATGCCCTGCTGCCATTCTTCAGTGCAGGGACGTTAATACACATGACACTCCCGGCACGTTGAATTAGTGTGACTTTCGGAGCTGCGCTAATTAAAGCGCTGCCCACCCCATGCCTCCTGGGCCGTGTGTATAAATGTCCTTCGTTGTGAAGTACTAGGTAAATGAGCATTAGCCTGTCTTAATGCGCATTAACTAAAGAACATTTTTTTTTTTTTTTTTTTTAGTGTTGTTTAATGTTGTTTACCTTTTTTTA